TATTTCTAAAGATAGAAAATCTCAACTAAAACAAAATGCAAGAAAAACAAGCACAAGGAAAATTAATTAACTTTACTTTTTAAATATTTACATTATGCATGATTATGGGTACTGATCAAGCATGATGTGCTAAAAATATAACATAAAAGATACATAATGCATAAATATAACAAATAAAATATGAAAAAATTATATTTGCCATTCACTACCTCAATCACACAGCCAACCCCTCCCTCCGAAAAAGCAAAACACTGCATTCTCAATATGATTGGGGGAGTGGGGGAGAGTAGTGATGGGCTCGATGTTCGAGCCGAATGTGAGGTGAGCCCAATCATGGCTCACCTGTTACAACTGTAAACAGTTAGGCGGAGCTAGCTGCCACTGCTAGCTCCGCCCAATTGTTTATAAGTTGCTGGCATCTGTCAACATTTTTTTCATTGATACATGTCCCCCAGGGCAGCACCCAAATTCCCATACCCTTTTTGTGGCCATTAATTTGCATATAAGCTTTCAAAATGGGGGCAATTGATTTTCAAAGTTCTTCCCCCCCATAAGACTTGCATTGAGTTTGAGTTCGAATTCAAACTTTTCCCATGTTTGAAAGTTTGAATTCGAAGCAAACAGGGGGTGTTCGGCTCATCACTAGGGGAGAGTGCAGAATACACACATCAGTCGTGAATGAATGTCAAATATCGGTGTATGCCCTAGATGCATGTACCTTCCTGAGTGTAGGCTCAGCATTACTGGGTTTTCTGCCCACCTACTGCGCCTGTCACACAGGCAGACACAATGGTCAAATACCTTGGTATAGGTTGGATGAAGCCTGATGGAGATTTCTAAAAGACTAGTTCCATCACCACCTTCCTCTGTGGTTGAGAGCAGGCAGTGGGTTGAGTCCAGAGCCAATAGACAGCCTGTCTGCTATTAACTAGTAGCAGAACGGACTTGATGGGGAAATAGTACATTTACAAAAGTACATTTTCATGGTGAGGCTGATTTCCTGAAGGCTTTGAAAATGTTCACATTCACTTCACACAATTACCCAACCATATCAAAAACATATCCCTATTTATTTATTTTATCTGCAATTGACTGAACAATTAAAGTAAATCTTTGTTCATTCAAAAAATAAATTCTCAATACCTTTTAGTAAATCAGCCTAATTATGTATAGCTATCAAATACCCTGCTCAGTGACTGTTCTGGTGCATTTATTTCCCAGGAACTTTTTGGATTTAAATCGGTGGCGTGGAGACAAGTCTTTTGCATTGTTGGGTACCTTTTCTCTCTTGGCTTCCTTCTACTTGTATTTTATTGGAAACCGGAATGGGATGTGTATTGCCATTGTGCCCCGTGTGACCTGGAAAAAGCTGATGTTATATTACTTAGAACTACGGTGAGTGTTTTGCAGTAGCATAAAGACACCCTATGCTTTTTTTTTTAAGGTCACCTTCATATTTATTCATGTTCCGTGTTTTGTATTTTCGAGACATGAAGGGTTGATTTTCTAAATAAGCTGTTTACTTTGTAAGGGAGTTTACACTTTGTAAGGGTAGTTTTTTCTTAGCTTAGTGAAAATGATGAAAATTCACTATGCAAAGAATATCTAATCATGTGGAAGGAAAATAAAAACAGTATTTTGTGCTTGCATGTGATGGATGAAGTCAGCAGAGCTTTACCTGACTCACTAAGCCAAGTGAAAATTATCTTGCAAAGTGAACGGCCTATTTGCCTTTAGTAAGTCAACCCCAAATGTGTAAAGAATAGGGCTATGTATTACAAAAATCTGTAAAAAGAAACTACTAGTAAGTTTAAAAAGAACACAAAGGAGTTTATTGATAAATAATTTGCAGTGCTGTTCACCCTGTGAATATCTGTGAATGTTTGTGTGTGTGTGTACAAACACATGTTCTTTAGTAAACCCCATTTATCGACGTAGTTTTACCTTAGTTTCTGCAATTTAAATACTGGATACAGAAACAAAAGGGTTAGTCATAAAAGGGTGAAGAGTTTGGAGAAGGCAAGAGAAGTGAACAATCTAGGACAACATAGCTGCACTGGAAAGTGAGCTGAATTGTAGAATGTTTCCAAATCAGCTATTTTGGCCTAGATTGTTCACTTCTTCAGCCTTCTCCAAACTCTTCACCCTTTTGTGAATAACCCCCTTAGTCTACTTTCAGTAGAAGTTTTACTGTGGATAATTCTATTAACAACAGATGTTACCTATTGCTTTTACTTTATAAAGCAGGTTGAATACTAGTTGCCATTATATGGCACACAGTGCCATCTGCTGGTGTTGAGAATATTCACTTCAATTGTCCAATTATGTTAAATTATTTCTGTTTCCTTTGAATACCCAGTCATGTGTAGATGAAATAAGTGAACAGTAATTTACTTTTTACATTTTAAATGTGACTGGTTACCTCTAAAGATAAATATCGGGGTACAGTTGACATTTGTTTCACTTGTTGGATTTGGTGTAGGAGACACTAGGGATTTCAGCTGTAGGGATGGGCGCGATGTTCGAGTCGTAGAACAGTTCGGCTCGAACATTGGCAGTTAGTGTGTTCGGGGAACACATGAACTATCATGGCGACCCTGTAAAAGCACCATCCTAGTGCCGAGGGCATGTGGCCTGGTATGGCAGGTAGGGGAGGCCACTCGCTCGTGCCCTCCCCCCTTTCCTGCCCTGCCAGGCCTGTGCTCGGATCAAGGATCTGGTTAGGAATTGTATCCAGGACCCCATGTTTTTCCCCCGCATTTTTTGGGTGGGGTTCCTCCTTAAAATTCCTATCAGACCTTAAGGGCCTGGTATGATTTTGAGGGGGAACCCCATGCACTTCTTTTTAATTTTTTTAAATGGGGTCCCTACTAAAATTCCTAACACACCTTAAGGGTCTGGTATGACTTTTGGGGGGAACCCCATGCTTTTTGTTTTTCCTTTTACTTAAATGGGGTCCCTCTTAACATTCCTATCAGACCTAAAGGGTCTGGTATTGTTTGAGAAGGGGAACCGCACACTTTTTTTCTTTATAAATGTAAAATTTTGCTGCAGCAGGTTCTATGCATTGTACAGATGCACCACTTTACAGGCAGTATAAGGGGACCCCCCAGGCACGATATTTAAAAGAATTTCTCATTTTTATTGTTTCACTTTAAGCAATGTTAAAATCACTGCTCCTTTAAAAACTGTATTTTTTAAAAGTGTTTTTTTTTCATTGATGCTCCCAGGGCAGTACCCGAATCCTCATACCCTTTTATGGCCAATAACTTTCATATAAGCCTTCAAAAGGGGGACATTTGATTTTCCGAGTTCTGCTCCCAATGACTTTAATTGAGTTTGAAGTTCGAGGTCGAACTTTTTCCATGTTCTAAAGTTCGAACTCGAACAAACTCAGATGTTTTTGGCCCATCACTATTCAGCTGCCATTGGGATGTGCTGGGCTTCTGGTGTGTCCCTGTGCCTATAAGGAGGAATGGGATGGCGTAACGGCACCCATTTTGACCTTTGATATGTATCTCTGAAAGCCTCCAAGTTGGAGCATATATATATATATATATATATTAGGGTTGGCACCTTTTCTTCAAGAGAAACCCGAACACTCTAGCGACGCGCGGACATTTTTTGGGGGGAGAATGAGTCGCGGATTATTTATATGTACAGTAAATAGTGCCAACCCATTCATATGTAAATATCACAATTGAGACTATTTTCAGTGGGAGGTCAGTAGCCCCTATCTTAATTTTGGTTGCCCCTGTCTGCCTGACATCTTGTGTCCGGATTTCTGCTGCCATGAAACCCGAACACAGCATTCAAAACCCGAACTGTCCGGGTGAATCCTGGACAGGTGGCAACCCTAATATATATATGCTCCAACTTGGAGGCTTTCATAGATTAAAGTTAGGACCACACTACACAGAGGGGTCTCGATGAGGCATCGTGGCTTCGACATATTTTGCATAAGTTGTGTAACTAAAACCTCTGTTTTAGCCCTATCAGTAGACCGTGTCGTTTTTTTTTTGTTTTTTTCAGCTAGCTGGGAAGTGTGCTGGGAATTTTGTCTTTATATCTTTAATTACAATACCAATACAAAAGCCAAATTATTACAAGTCTTTTTTTCTTTAAAGGATAATTTTAAAAAATACTGTAAGAAAAAGATATTTTGGGTCCACCCTTTCAGAACCGGAGACAACGGTATATTTGAGACATTCACTAATGGGAGATCTGTTATAGGGAAAGCTCTAATGAAGCCAGAGAATAAGGTTAGTTTGTTTATTTATGTATTTGTTTATTTATTATATTTACTGTAGATGCAAACATCTAAGGGTCTATTCACTAAGCTGCCGTAGGCAGCCGAGCGAATGACCGACCTGCTGAGCTGCATTCGGCTCGGCTGTTCTGCTCGGTCCCTCAGAGGGACCGAGCAGAACAGAAAAATAGTAAAAAAAGTTTAAAAAAGTAAATAGAAAATGATTGTGCGGAGCTAGCAGTAATTGCTAATTTTACACAGATTTGTTTATTAACACTTTAGTGTGCAGTTGGTTCACATAAACCGAGCGCAACATATTTGCTTTACATTTGTTCACCTATACACATTGTTGCGGCTGGTCCAATCAGGTAGTTAGGCACGCATTCCCAGCGCAGTGATTTCTGTGATATAATAGCAAACTAGCTATTGCACCCACCCTCTGCTGCTGTTAATTTACTAGTGGGGACCTGATGGATAACTGCAGGTCCCCTCTGCTGATTGACAGCAGCAGTGGGAGGGTGCAATAGCTAGTTTGCTATTGCCTATCGCAAATTGAAATAGCAATGACAGCTAGCTCCGCCCAACAGTTTTCTATTGGCTGGCGGTTCTGCTGCCGTCAAAAAAAAGAAGAAAAAAAAACGCTCCCGGCCACCCAGGAGAGAAACACTGCTTTTTCTTTTTTTTTCTTTATTCTGACACGGAGCCGTGTCAGAATAGAAAAAAAATAATCATCATTTTTGCCCATTGGAAAGCATTGCTAGATTCCTATTGGCAATTTCAATTTGCAATAGCCAATAGTAAACTAGCATTGTACCCGCCCTCTGCTGATGGACCTGATGGAGAACTGCAGCAGTGGGCGGGTACAATGCTAGTTTACTATTGGCTATTGCAAAATGAAATAGCCAATAGGAATCTAGCAATGCATTCCAATGGGCCAAAATGTTTTCTTTTCTATTCTTTGGGGGGAACCCTCCGCACACCTCACAGCAGTCCCGGCCAATTAAGAAACGATGGTGCTCGCAGTGACATTGGTTCACGGATGGCGCCGTGCAGACACAGGAAAAAACAGGGAATCACCAGCACTCAGTAATCAAAGCAAATATGTCCTTTTATTGGACTGAGGCGTCATGGAGATCAAAAGAACCGACGTTTCGTCATGTTTTCTGCCTTGAGGAAGGGACCCTGCGTGGCCCCGAAACGTCGGTTCTTTTGATCTCCATGACGCCTCAGTCCAATAAAAGGACATATTTGCTTTGATTACTGAGTGCTGGTGATTCCCTATTTTTTCTTTTTTATTCTGACACGGCTCCGCTCGGCCAGCTTCGGCTTTCAGCACGGCTCAGGAGATCCGAGGCATATGCGTTCGGCTCGACTGAGCCACTCGGCCACGTTCGGGAGCTGTACGGGCTGAAGCTAGCCGAAGGATCGGCCGAAGCTACGGCTAGATTCTTCGGCAGCTTCGTGAATAGACCCCATAGTAATTTAAAATTGCATGGAAGGTTATGCAAGTATACATTGATTTTATAAAAATATATTTCCATAAATTGGAACTACCAGTATGTTTTTAAAATCATAATGACTTTCTATAACAAACTTGTAAGGTGCCATGGAATATTTCAGTTGAACTAAAAAATTAAATACAAATTATTATACCTACAAAAAGTAAAGATGTGTATAGGTACACAAGAGCATGCCAATCATTAAGGAGTGATTTCTTTCTTCAAGACCCCCGTGACATCTCCCACTGGTGCCTGAGTTCTCGTAGGGGATAAGGTAATTGACCAGGAGCCTTAACCCAGTCTGATATAAACTGTTTTATATTTTATCTCAAGATATCTATACTTTTATGTACTCCTTCCTTTTCTCCACAGACCAAAGCATGCATGCCAGTTTTGAACTTGCACATGAATCTTCCCAGAACAAAATTCGGGAGTATTAAAACTAGGGATGCACCGATACTAGTTTTTCGCTTTCGAGTACGAGTACCGATATTTATCTTTCGGTACTCGTTGATACCGAGTACTGATACCGGTACTTCCACTTGCATGAAGCTGGCTTGCCGGGCAGTGTGTCATTACCCACTGCCCGGCTTCTTGATTGCCCAGGAAGCCAGCTCCATGCTGTTTGGCCGGCTTGACGCTGATTGGTCGAGAAGCCAGCTTCCCAGCCATTCAGCATCGAGCTGGCTACCTGGCCAATCAGGAAGCCTGGTCATTTAGGGCTGGTTCGCACATGCTGAATGCACAGCCGCTGGTGTGTGCTGATAGGGAACTGTTCTAATGCACTGATTCCAGCACATTGCACTGTTTACTTTTTTTCTTTTTACAAACTTTATTGAAAATGTCATGAGTGACATTTCATTAATTTCTATTAGCACAGTGCAGTGTGATGCGGTTGCACCTTGTCACACCATGCTACATTGAAAAAAAAGTACTGCATGCAGCACTTTTTTTTTCAGTGCACGCCACCACAACACAATGGTGTGAACGAAGCCCATTGAATACAAGGACAATTGTTTTGTCTACGCACACAAATTGCTTTGTCTGTGCCCATTCACACCAGATGTGTTGGGACTGTGCTGTCCTCCTTTTCCAGTGCAGCCCCAACACATCTGGTGTGATCGGGCCCTAAGGGCTCATTCACACTGACTGCACAGTAAAATACTGTGGGGGTTATTCACAAAGCTAGCCAAAGGATCTAGCCGTAGCTTCGGCTGATACTACAACTAGCTTTGGCCGCCTGAGCCCTTCGGTTCAGTAGAACAAAATGGCTGCTGTACGGGCTATCCACTATAGCCCGTACAGCTCCCGAAGTTGGCCGAGTGGCTCGGTTGAGCCAACGGCATACGCTGATTGGAGGGGTTGGAGCTCAGCAACCACAGACCCACCAAAGATCATCTGTTTCCATGGATCAAGTCCACATACAACATTGAATGAATAAAAGAAACACCCTTTACAGAACAAGACCATAACCCCAATCTGCATCAGGAGTGGTCCCTGTTCCTTTTTTCCATACTATCACCATACTTTTCATAAATACTTATTTGAGCATCCGAAGGATTAACTCTTCCATGGGAGGAATTTCTCTGTAGGTTTTTCTTCTATAAATATGGGTAGAGTTATTGCAGAAAGCAGAAAAGGCACACTAGAAGCCGGCAGTGATATCACCGCCGGCTCCTCTGCTGAGCTCTCATGACAGTTCAGCGTCCCCTGGTTTACTGGTAACCAGGGGACGCTGCACTCTCATTACAGTGAGATTTCAGTGGAGCCGGCAGTGATATCACCGCCTGCTCTGCCGAGCTCTCATTGTAATGATAGCAGGTCCTGGCCAATAGGAAACAGTTGGGCAGAGCTAGCTGTCACTGCTGTCTCCGCCCAATCATTTTCTAGTTTTTTTTTTAACTGTTTTTCTATTCTGCTCGGTACCACGGAGGTACCGATGGGCGGCATTCGGCTATTCACTCACTGTGTTCGGCCCCTATGAGAATAGGCCGAACAGCAGCAAATAGGCTGCCGGAGGTTCGGCCCAGCCGATCCAACATCGAACTCCTTCTGCACTTCGTGTTGGCCCAACATACTGAGCATTATCTATGTCCCGGACTCGCCCCAGATGCTGAGCATGTGCGGACCGAAGCCAGCCAAAGCAAGCCGATGTACGGCTCAAATCAGATGTACAAGGCTGAAGTGAATAGCCGAACAGCGTTCGGCTCACTTCACTTCGGGTCGGTTACTCACAAGGCTGCCTTCGGCAGCTTTGTGAATAACCCTGTGTGTTTTACCATGTGGCTAATGTCTGCTGAGTGGCAACGGTGAGCCACAGTGCCTTGTAGTGTTCCAAGCCAAGGTACTGTTTACTTTTTTTCTCAACTCTATTTGGAGTGTACAAAGTTTACTCTCCATTCATGCATTTTACTGCAGCCCACTGCACATTACATCTGTGTTGTGGTGTGAACAGGGGACATAGATAATTAGAGTTTATATGCCCTAGCAGTGACTGGCATTGGTTTGGTGCAGAAAGATGCCAATCACTGCTGTATGTATGAGCGGGCCCTTAATCTTCCTTGCGCTGGTGGCATACTGCCTATCACTGGTGCCTTTCCAGTACCCAGTCTCTCAACTTGGTTGGATATCTATTCGGATGCATATATTTATATCAGCAATGTAAAATACTATTAACAGACTTGCTTACCATTACATGTTGTGGATCCTTATATCATGTGGCTGAATTGTGGATGTCCATTTTTTAAATGGCATTTATCTGTCCATGAGAGATTGATTATATTACTCGCTTACTTTAAATGGTATGACTTTGCTGCTTGCTAAAATTAAAAGACCCCATACAACTGACACTGTACATTTTTATACTTTTTATTAAAAACAAAGGGGGTTACCCAGCCCCACCCAGTTCCATGGAAACACCAAGTTATTTAAAAATACGATAATAGGTATAGAAAATCCTGTCATGTTGTGGTGAATAGTGGTTTGCCAAAGCCTTTCAATAAGAACAATTTATTATTTAAAATAAAGTCTGATTTTTTTAAACTGTTTATTTCCGTGCCCCCTGGTATTATACTACTATTATTGTAATTTGTTGTTTAAACCATAGGTGCGTTGCTTAAAAGTACAGAACATTAGATATGTCTGGAACATTTTGGAAAAAAATTTTCAGAAAATTGGGTGAGTTTTTTTCAGAAAATGGCTCTGCAGGATACCAAAAAAAAAGAAAAAAGGCTGCAGGCACCTAGATGTATCTGTATACCAGCAGGCAGCAGGCGCCAAAACCTTGTCATTATGGCCGAATGCCAAACTGTTCATCCTGTTAGTGCCAAAATGTGCCTGTCTCCTCCTGCCTCTTGCACATTCCTAATGGCCAGGGAGGCTGCTTATTATAGTGACAGACCAATAGGAATAATGCAGGGATGGGAGATAACCACAAAACTCTACACAACACTATCTAGAAGTTCCAGAGCTTATCTGCCTCAACAGTCTGGAATTGAGGCTGCTGCAGGTATTTGCAGGTACCTCTAGATGCCTACAATTTATATCTGCAACAGTTTTTGTTTCTGGTCTACTGACATATTCTATCGGAACACTGTAAACTGTTTTAATTTCTGTTTTGTTGTCACTATCTATATACAATGTTGTTTTACAAATAAACTTTTAATAAATGACAAAGGCTTACCAGAGTTCTCTTGATCAGCTAATGAGGCAACAGAGCAGAATATGCTGCTATTTTGTTCTCCAGTTGACTGAAATTTCCAAATGAGTTGTCTGATAAGGAAGAAGTTACTGCGGATTAGTCATTGACGTCTTGGTGTAAACAACAAGCTTTAAAGAGGGGGGAGAGAAAGAAACCCTTTTGATATACTCCTCTTTGTATTTTAAATTAAGCATTTAATGGTACAATTCCTAATGTGTTTATATTGTAGCATTTTAGAAGATGAGTACTCTTGCTCAGACATACATACAAAGTTTGGCTCTGGTTTCACTCAAGAGGAGCAAGAGATCCGGTAAGTGTTTAACTCAGTATACATTTACTTATAACCAGTTCAGTGCCAAACTTTAAGTCAATCTTTTGTGCTTTCTGCTATTAATATAAAATGTCTAATTTATGAACAGAAAACAGGTGTGTGGCTTAAATGCCATTGATGTAGAAGTTACCCCAATCTGGAAGCTGCTTTTCAAAGAGGTGAGAGACTAGTTAACAGAACAACAGTGGTTCCACATGATAACAAAGCCATATTTACAGACACGAGCAGTATGAAGGTGTGGTAATGCACAAAAGAGTGCCAATGCACTGGAAGTGTTTAGTGGTTTCCCTCACACCTTATTGCTCAGAACAGCAATCAGTGAAGGATATCTATGTTTGACACAATCTATGTTTGAAATAATCAAGATTGTCCAAACTATTAGGTAAATACAGTCTTATGACTCGAGCAGCCAGTGTACCATCCTTTTCCTCTTTATAAGCACAAGTAGTTTATTTATTTATTTGAACTAATGTATATAGGGGTCTATTCACTAAGCTGCCGTAGGATGGCGAGTGAATGACCGGCCTACAGCGAAGTGAGCCGAACGCTGTTCGGCTATTCACTTCAGGCTGGTACGGCTGAACGTATATCGGCTGAAATCAACCGTACATCAGCTTGCTTCGCATGGCTTCGGGTCGGCCGAACATGCCCGACCCGAAGAGCAGGAGGAGTTCGACTCAGCCGATCCAACATCTGGATTGGCTAAGCGAAAACCTCCGGGAGGCTACTTGCTGCTGTTCGGTCTATTCTTATAGATGCCGAACAGCAGTGAGTGAATCTGCTGATGGACCGGATGGAGAACTGCAGCAGAGGGCGGGTGCAATGCTAGTTTACTATTGGCTATTGCAAATTGAAATAGCTAATAGGAATCTAGCAATGCATTCCTATAGGCAAAAATTATAATTTTTTTCTATTCGGACACGGCTCCGTGTCAGAATAAAGAAAAAAAAAGAAAAAGCAGTGTTTCTCTCCTGGACGGCCAGGAGCGGGAGACTCCCGGAGTGCCCGGGAGAGTTTGCTGTCTGGAGATCAGTGTCCCTGGTTAGCTGGTAACCAGGGACGCTGATCTCTCTGCAAGTGACCGGAGCCAGCTGTAAGATCACGGCTGGCTCTGCCCAGCTGTCAGAAGCAGGCTTCGGCTGGCCAATGGCCGGCCTCTCGGCCAGCTTCGGCTTTCAGCGCGGCTCAGCCGAGCCGAGGCATATGCCGCTCGACTAAGTACGGGAGCTGTACGGGCTATTGTGAATAGTGAAGTTACAATCCAGTGTTCCTACCACAATTTTAGTAGATGCCCACAAACTTGCTTGGGTCAATGTTGGTTTGCGGTAAAAGTTGGTAGATCTAACAAATTTAGGTAGAATATAGTGCCGGGCAAATAGTGTGCCTAATCGGAAACCCTGGACCTGGAGTGGTAACCAAGACATCACACCACTCTCAGGCAGGTACTTTGGAATGAATTCTGAAGATCAAGTACACAAAAGGCTCTTGCATGACATTCTAAACTCTCTCTAGACTTCTAAATCCCAAATCCAGTTACTATTTGATTTACATGCCTCATAAATTAAAAAAGGAACTTCTTGTACCTTTCTATACATCTTTCTTCATTTGTGCCTCCCATGCTCCTATCCTCAGACACCGCAGCTCACAGTGGGAGAAGTTCAGCAACAGAGGCAGTGCTGTCAATCCTAAAATCAGTCAGCATGACTACTAGGTGTGTTCTGGTCCTGATTGTCAAGCTACAGGCTTGTGAATTAGCAGTAATGCTGATGGCCATCCCCCGGGCAACATCTTCTCAACCTACTGTAGTGCCAGCAGGCACATCCTACACAAGAGTGGCATTTATGTTCTGAATTCATTAGCAGTGCAACATCAGTGCCATGCAGTCACTGGAAGCTGCATTAGGTAGACTTCACTGAAAGGATCAAAAGGTATTTGTGAGACTTTGGAGGGGACCTAAAAGAAAACTGTAAGGGCAGAATTATTAGGAAAAAATTATTCTGCTTTTAGTGTTGCTTATTACAAGAGTAGGACTGGTTATGAGATTATCATAAAGGCAGAACTCCCACTTTATATTTATTTCAAATATATCAGGAACCAAGCTGAAATAACCTGCCTACTAAATATAATGCAAATATATATGCAATATATATGAATGAATGACCTGGAGGGAACTGTTTTTCTCTTCAAAATTAGAGATTTACTATAAATACCACTGCTGACCATAATTTATTAACTTTATTTATGCCTTAAACAGGTTTTAAATTCTTACTACGTTTTTCAAGCCTTCTCATTAAGTCTTTGGTTTGCTACCTGCTATAATGAATATGCTGCAATACTTGTTGTTATTACGCTCTTGTCCATTGTGGCCACAGTCTACAATCTCAGGAAGGTAGGTACACTCAGCTCATATTGGTGTATATTAAGCCCTAAAGGTAACCTTTCCCCCTCCACGAAGGCTGCCATTGCTGGATTCTCTTTTTATGATTTCTGGATGCCTGGCTGTCCCTCTGGCCTTAGTGGTTTGAGTCACTGACATGGAACAGGTATGCTGATAACTTCCAATTTTCTCTCGAGTGATGGCTGCATGGCATTTGTCAGGGCCATTTCTAGTCTCCATTGGTTGCCCATGTGACAGGGTGACAGCACTTGAGAATAATATGGAAACAGGGACTGATTGTTGACAGCCTACAAGGGCCGGCTTTAGATAAAGTGTGGCCATGGCCTATTATTAAAGTGAGGGGTCCATATGATCGAATGTTGTACTGTGTGGCAGTGTATCTCAACAAAAGGGGATCTAAGGCAAATATAAAAAGTTATGGTTATAGTGTGCATGGTAAGATGTCAGAGAGGCAAAATGTTGGTGTGTTTAAGAATTGCAGTTAAATTGTGCTAAACCTTTCAGGCTGTACGTGGCAGCAGCTTAACAACTCTTCTAAAGCTTCAGTATAACACAGATATATCAACAAGAGGCAGTTCAATATTGTACGAAAAGCAAGTGGGGTGGTTCATAGAAAGTGGTCTTGAGCAGCATTTTTGGCCGACATATTTAGCATAACAACTCTTTAGCTTACAATTTTACTTGCCTGAGGAGGTGGTTGTGTCCTTTAAGTCATCTATGATATGTGAGACTATACAGAAAGGCAGACCTGAGGGGACAATGAAGAGAGAAAAGTTGTGGCAGGTGCATTATGCTGTGGCACTTACTGTGCTTGTCAACATTACGCTGAGTACTGGGTGTCACTTTAAAGCCATAGGTACATAAAATTCAACCACTCTCATCTCTGTTTATTCTGCACATACATCCTGCAGTGCTTGTATCCACAAAATAATCCTAAATTATTGTGCAACAAGCTAGAATCTCATGTACAGACACACAGAATCTAGACAGGAAGCTAACACTTTGTCTGAGAACTTCATAAAAATAGATGAGAACTAGTTACGTGGTCAAAAGTGTGTAACTGCACGCGGGACTATGTATTGTAAAACATAGCGTAGAGTCCAGTAGTAGGGACCTCATACACTCATAACGTATACAGTACAGGGGTAAGGAGTATGTAACATACAACATAACCTAAAAGTGCACTGTTCAGAAGTAATGTACAATATAAAATATAGAGTGTAGGAGTAAAAAATATGTAACACAAAACATAACGTATCATGTGCAATGGTCTGGAGTATGCAACACACAATACAGGGCATGGGGGCCAGTGGTATGTAAGATGCAGCATAGGGTCAAGTGGTTAAGATTATGGGGTCTATTCACGAAGCAGCCAAAGGATCTAGCCGTAGCTTCGGCTGATCCTTCGGCTAGCTTCGGCCCCAGGACCCCTTCGGTTCAATAGAACCAAAGGGCTGCTGTACGGGCTATTCACTATAGCCCGCACAGCTCCTGAAGTCGGCCGAGCGGCTCAGTTGAGCCGAAGGCATATGCTTCGGCTCGACTGAGCCGAGGTAAAATCCGAAGCTGGCCGAGCGGCCGGCCGTTGGCTGGCCGACAGCCTGCTTCTGACAGCTGGGCGGAGCCAGCCGTGATCTTATGGCTGGCTCCGGCCACTTGCAGAGAGATCAGCATCCCTGGTTACCAGCTAACCAGGGACACTGATCTCCAGACAGCCCAACTCTCCCGGGCTCTCCGGGAGTCTCCTGCACCCGGCCGCCCATGAGAGAAACCCTGCTTTTTTTATTTTTATTTTTTTTATTCTGACATTGAGCCATTGGCTGTCGTCAGAAAAAAAAATGTCAACATGGGAATGCATTGCTAGATTCCTATTGCCTATTGCAAATTGAAATAGCCAAAAGAAAAATAGTTAAAAAAGAAGAAAAAAAGTAAATAGAAAACGGTTGTGTGGAGCTAGCAGTAGCAGCTAGCTCCGCCCAAATGTTTTCTATTGACCGGAGGAATGCATTGCTAGATTCCTATTGGCTATTTCAGCGGCATTCGGCTATTCACTCACTACTGTTCGGCATCTATAAGAATAGACCGAACAGCAGCGAGTAGCCTGACGGAGGTTCGGCTTAGCCGATCCAGATATTGGATCAGCTGAGGCGAACTCCTTCTGCTCTTCGGGTCGGCCGAACATGCCGAGCATGTTCGGCCGACCCGAAGCCACGCAAAGCTACCCGATGTACGGCTGATTTCAGCCGATATACGGCTGGAATCAGCCATACCAGCCTGAAGTGAATAGACCGAACAAAGTTTGGCTAACTTCGCTTTTGGTCGGTCGTTTACTCGGCTGCCTACGTCAGCTTAGTGAATAGACCCCTATGTGTCGTATTTGCTCTCATGTTGCTTGCCAGTAGGAAAAGAAAGGATCCAGCACAGTGGAAAATGGTGGTAAGAATTACCAAGCACTGGTGTCAGTGGTTGCCTTCTGGTTGTGCTGCAAAGCCTTTGCCCAATGGCTGCAGCTCAGTAGGAAAATCACATGAATAAAAGTATAAGTGCACTGTTAAACACATTTGCTCCCTAAACAATAACATGTAAAGTTTAAATTAGATTTTAATGATTTGTGTTTACATCTACTTCAATATTGTAATAATTGTCATATTTTCTTTTTAAGCAATCTGTTAAACTGCACAAGATGGTTGCGTTTCATAACAATACAATGGTTACTGTTCTCAGGAACAATGGTGGTGAGTTCAATGATACTATTACTAGTTTATACCTTAAAGAACTCCAGGAAGAAATGTTATTAACCCTTGAAGTGAGGCTAACCCTGCACTTCAAGGGTTAACTGCTTATTTTTGCCTAGGGTAAAAAAAGATACTTACCTAAACCAGTGAGTTGCCCAGCTCTTTGACCGGTCCCTATAGTGTCTCTCCCCTCTGCTGCAGTCTAGGAATCCTCGAGTCATCATGTCCAATACAATGAATTAGACGTGAGGATACAGAGTGACTGGAGGGAGCACTGCTTGCCTGGAGGATCGGGTGAGTATAACTATTTTTTTTGGGACCCTAGGCAAAAACGAGTAGTTAACCCTTGAAGTGCGGGGGTAGCCCCCTTGCTATATATGGATTTCTTCACTTACTGCTTTTCATTCTTTTAAGTGTATCCTCCAAACTTCACAGCCTCCTCCTCTCATCTATTGTAAACTATCAAGACTTCTCACAGGCTTCTGCTCTTCGCATATGCTTTTCCAAAGGACTAATAGTACTAAATGACTCTTGAAACCTTTAAATACAATATTAATGGCATGCCTTGAAGTATTATTATTAATATTAATTACAAAATGCCTATACATAATAATTTTATAGTTATTAAATCCTTTTCCGTAGTTTTGGAAGAAACTGAATCACAGAATTTAGTTCCTGGAGATGTCATGATTTTAACAGGAAAAAAGTTGAATTTACCCTGTGATTCTATTTTACTAACAGGAAGTTGTGTTGTAAATGAAGGAATGTTAACAGGTATGGAAAATATGATATGCTTTCCCAAGGATCTGGTACCAGTCTTGTAACAGTCAATTTGTTCTTTTTTGTTATAAATCATTGTGAGGTATTAAATGACATTGATAATGAAAGAAACATGGAGGCCGGCATTGTTGACCAGTCCTTCTGAAAAAATTAGTGGTCTGTTTGAGATACTGACCCCACTGCCATTTATTATTTTCAGTATTCAGCAGTCAATAATGGCCACCTCCACATTTCTCATATAAAAGGTTTACTTCTAAATACTGAAAACAAGACTTATATTTATACGGTACATGTAACTAATATTTAGAGTATTTTGTGGCACCCTAGTTTATGTTTTACATTAACACCTATGACATACACTTATGCAAAGAACAAATACTAGAAAAAAATTATCTTAAGCTTTATTACCTGTAGGGTTTTTCAATAAAAGAATTATAAAATGTTCAGCAGAGTATATGGATCATCTGCTTGTTTAGGAACTACTGCTTCTCCACTAGCAGCAACATTTTAGATATGCTTTATATGTGTAGTCCAGTATTCAGGTGCTTTCTGGGTGCACTAAAAGGTGAGGCTAAGGCCTAAGCAGAAAGTTCAGAGCAGTACTGAAGGACTAAAAGCAGATTAGTCTCATCAGTTGAGCAAGGGATCTGGTCAGCTGGATATTGAAGACGTCAAGGCATGAGGAGGAGCAATTGTAAGGGTGAAGGTAAGAGTAAGTACCAGAAGGTCCATAAATTATGCATGTAAGAATATGTGTAAAGCAAAATAGGAGTCAAAAAGAGAAATTTGGGTTTAGGCCTGGTTCACACCTGGGCGTTTTGTAGCGCGTTCCTACGCTCTGCAAAAGCTCAAACACCAAAATCCCATTATTTCCTATGGGTATGGTTCACAGTTGGGCGTATTACAGGCCGTATGAACGCGTTACAAAACGCCCTATGCCCAAAGAAGTACAGGAGCTTCTTTGGGGCGTTTTTGTCGCGCGTATCCATTGGGATACAGCCAGGTAGCCCTCGGAAACGTGCGTTTGTCGCGCGTGTTTTTTACCAACAAACGCGCATATTCGATACGCTTGGTATGAACGCCGCCTAAGGCATAAAACACACGTACACACAATATACACATAATCCATAATACACTTACAGGATTATTCACTAAAGGGTGAAGAGTTTGGAGAAGGCAGGAGAAGTGAACAATCTAGGCCAACATAGCTGATTTGGAAATCTCCAATTCAGCTCACTTTCCAGTTCAGTTATGTTGTCCTAGATTGTTCACTTCTCCTACTCTCCTTCGCCAAATTCTTCACCCTTTAGTGAATAACCCCCCTTTAGTCAAGTCCAGAGAAGCTTAGTCTGCAAAAATAATAGTCCAGATACACAGTAGAAAGTTGTATGCACAAGAAAATCAAACAACATAGATTTTGACTCATGTCAAAATCTGGATGTCATTTAAAAGATCAGAAAAATGACTGGATGTCATTTAAAAGATCAGTAAGCCAATCAATGTGACTGCAAATGTAAATAGCATATGATATGGGCACTGAGACACAGTAAGTGCATCAAATGACTGGAAGTTCACATAGAGATTGGAAAGGAGAGCCATCAACATGAGGAAGAACATCCAAGGACCACTCAACTGATCACCTGCCAATGTTCACCTGTCTAGAGGAAAACTGGGCTCCAGGTCCTAGATGGAAAATGACAGGAAAATATAAAGTAAGAAATGTTGGCATCCTGAAGGTGATACAAACTGCTATGCAGTAATAACATATGCTTGCCATAATGCCATGTCTAGCAACAGAATTTAATTGTGCATGTTTGTGATTGGCATATTTGATTAGTTAGTTTAAGACTGAAAAAAATAATTGCTGCATCCTAATTCTTGAAAACGAGAGTGCTTTGGTTTGGTTTTGACCACTTCTTTGAAAATGATTTAGTGCCAGGCCTTACATATATGTTGCCCCACAATTGTTATTTGTTCAAACTAATTTTGTTTTTAACATACCATATATATTTATCATGTTGTGTATGTTTATTATACAGACATTTTAGTGATAAAGTAGTCATACGACTATTTCCTGTACTATACCACTAAAGTGTGCGCTGTTTTTAGGGGAAAGTGTCCCAGTGATGAAGACATCATTGCCAAATGTTGACAATTCACTTGCTTGGAAGGAGTACAGTGGTGAGGATTACAAGAGACATGTTCTATTTTGTGGCACTGAGGTCATTCAAGCACAGAGAAGTCATAAAGACTTTGTGAAAGCTGTTGTGTTAAGAACTGGTAAGTAAAAAAAAAACTTGTAAAAAATGTGTGTAGGCTACTAGGCTAGATTATAACCTCTGATAAATAAAATGCACAGAATGCCTGTCTTTTTTTTTCATTATTTCTCATAACCTTCTCACAGATGTGTCTAATCATACAATTAAGATAATGAGAAATAAATAATAAAAAAAGACACAGGATTGCAGAGAGTGTTTTAGAAGAAGAAAGCAAGAGCACAACAGAACCTCACATGGAAAGATTGGATTATTTAGTGTAAAAACAAAGTTGACACTTTGGGGTCTATTCACCAAGCTGCCGAGGGCAGCCGAGTGAATGACCGATCTGAAGTGAAGTGAGCCGAACACTGTTCGGCTATTCACTTCAGGCTGGTACGGCTAATTTCAGCCGTATATCGGCTGAAATCAGCCGTACATCGGCTTGCTTCGTGTGGCTTCGGGTCGGCTGAACATGCTCAGCATGTTCGGCCGACCCGAAGTGCAGAAGGAGTTCGACTCAGCCGATCCAACATCTGGATCGGCTGAGCCGAACCTCCGGCAGGCTTCTCACTGCTGTTCGGGCTATTCTTAAAAATGCCGAACAGCAGTAAGCGAATAGCCGAATGCCGCCGAGCGGCATTTGGCTCGGCTGTTCTGCTCGGTCCCTCAGAGGCACCGAGCAGAACTATGCTGAGCATGTTCGGCCGACCCGAAGCCACACGAAGCAAGCCGATGTACGGCTGATTTCAGCCGATGTACGGCTGAAATTAGCCGTACCAGCCTGAAGTGAATAGCCGAACAGTGTTCGGCTCACTTCACTTCAGATCGGTCATTCACTCGGCTGCCCTCGGCAGCTTCGTGAATAGACCCCTTTGTTTTAAGTTTTGAGATTCACAGAGGATCATTTTCAATATAATTGGTTTATCCTATATTATATTTGGTTGGCATAGGATTAAACACCATTTTTAGGTTATTTGTATACAGATTTTTTCACTGTTATATATTGTTTGTCACTTATAGGTTAGTTATTTTGAACACAGCAGTTTATTTCTGGGTTACAGCGCCGCTCTGGTTGATGATTGAGTTAGTGAAGGTTCATACAACCGATTTAAGTGAGCAGCTGTGATTAGAATACCGAGCGTTTTTTAGAGATTGAGCACAGAAGATCTTGTGTAAAATTTGGAAGTGGTGGTGAATTTTTGATAACAATTATGCTAATTATGACATCTTCTAATTACTACAATTTCATCTTTAGGATTCAATACAGCTAAAGGGGACCTTGTTCGATCCATCCTCTACCCTAAGCCAGTCAACTTTAAACTCCATAGAGATGCCATCAGGTTCCTAATTGGACTTGTAACAATTTCAGTGGTTGGAGTAATATATATTGCTGTTATTAATACAAAGAATAATGTAAGTCTTTGGTCACATTTGTAAAACTACATTATTGTTATCTTCTAGTTGGTCATGTCTATCTGGAATAAACAGCTAACTTTAGAGTAGTCAAGGAATGTACTGGTGATCCACAAAGATAAGGATGCATAGCTTTTGCATGCCACATACAACTGGGTTGTAACTGCTATTAGTGATTATTTTTTACCTGTATCTGACCAAAATGTTACAGGAGAAGCCAAGGCATCATGCATGGCAGTCCCTTGACCTAGAAGGGAGTGTGCAAACTGTGCATGGGACATAATCGCAAGTTTAAATGATAAGATAGTTCATAAACATCATACTGTACATCAGAAATGAGTAATGTTATTGGCTACGGCTAATGGACCTGCACTTCACATCCTTACACCATGCAGGTCCATACAGTGCTGTAAAGCATAATTTGTGTAAGTAAGTACCATTCTGAACCTTATCCTTTCCCTTGGCAAAAGACTTTCTAAAAACCTAAAGCAACAAGCGATTCCAATCCATACAATGTTCTCAAAGAAGCGTTATGATATAACTTTATCAGTTGGCAGTGTAATATGTTCTATCCAGCAGAAGGTTGTCTGAAGTATAAATGACAGTCAAAGTGATATGACAGTTGGCTAGTGTAAACAAAGTTCTCATCAATGATCCAGCTACATTCCAAGTGTGAAACCAGCAGCAGTATAATGAAATCAGCAATGAAAAGTACTGCTTTCTATATACTACTGCTGGTTTCACACTTGGAATGTGGGTGTATCATTCCCACTTCAGAGCAGCTTTATGAATAGTCAACACTGTTGGAACCTTTTTTCCCCTGAAAATAAAGGAAAATCGTTTTTTACCCTTGCCACTTTGCCCCTGTGTCTGTTCATTTATTAATATGTATGCAAAATCCAAAAACTGAACGCTGCAAATTGTTTTTTTTTCCCGACCTCCTATAGGGTTCTGCCACCTACACTGTGCTCTGGTGTTTTCTTCTTGTCACTGTCAGCATCCCTGCAGCTCTACCAGCCTCTCTCACAGTTTGTATATTGTACGCACAAACAAGACTTAAGAAAAACAACATCTTCTGTTTAAGTGCACAAAGGATTAACATGTGTGGACAGCTTAACATCATCTGCTTTGATAAAGTAAGGCTACCAATCTCGATATGTACAAAATATTTTAGAGTCATTCCTGCAAAATCTGATTTTGTGGTTTTACTGTAAATATCATTATTATTTTTAAGTCCTGTTTAGGGCATCACTTTTGTTTAATTTTATCCTTTTTTCAGAAAATGTATACTCTTAAATAAAAATATATGGGGGCTGTCTTAGTGTATAGTAGCTAAGTAATTGACAATCCAATCGGATAATACATTTTGGGGAATTATGTGTTAAATAGCCTTACCATCTTACCCAGCTTTAGTTCAGCAGGTTTGTTTTAGGCTGGTAGTTGTGTGTTTGCCTTTTTACCACAAATATGGCATTTTGTTTACTGTTTTTCTAGTACAACAGTCAGCCATTCAGTTCTTTATAAGAAAAAAAAAACAGCTGGCAAACAAGCTTCTAAAAGTGGTGTACATGAAATGGTGTACATAGGAACACATTCTGGTACCCTACATATTTATGAATAACAGTATGGGGTCTATTCATGAAGCTGCCGAAGGATCTAGCCGTAGCTTCGGCCGATCCTTCGGCTAGCTTCGGCCCCAGTACCCCTTTGGTTCAGTAGAACCGAAGGGGTGCTGTACGGGCTATTCACAATAGCCCGTACAGCTCCCAAACCTGGCCGAGCGGCTCAGTCGAGCCAAACGCATATGCATCGGCTCTGCTGAGCCGTGCTGAAAGCCGAAGCTGGCCAAGCGGCCGGCCATTGACCGGCCGACAGCCTGCTTCTGACAGCTGGGCGCAGCCAGCCGTGATCTTACGGCTGGCTCCGGCAACTTGCAGAGAGATCAGCGTCCCTGGTTACCTGCTAACCAGGGACACTGATCTCCAAACAGCTAACTCTCCCTGGTGCCCCGGGAGTCTCCTGCTCCCGGCCGCCAAGGAGAGAAACACTATTGGGTCTTTCTTTTTCTTTATTCTGACACGAAGCGATGTCAGAATAGAGAAAAAAATAAAAAAATCCCATTGAAAAACATTGCTAGATTCCTATTGGCTATTTCAATTTGCAATAGCCAATAGTAAACTAGCATTGTACCCGCCCTCTGCTGCAGTTCCCCATCAGGTCCATCACCAGAGGGCGGGAACAATGCTAGTTTACTATCAACCGTGAAAAGAAGCAGGTAACTGCAATGTTTTGATAAATATACATGGAAAGCATTATAAGATAGATACTGCGTACACAATATAACAAACAATTTTACCTTCTTGCAGACGGGTACCCTAACTGAAGATGGCATGGAACTTTGGGGCATCGTTCCCTCGGGAGGGACACTGTAAGTTTAATATTATACATGTGGCTTTTTTGGTTTATGATGGCTGTTTTGCACAAAACTTTCTTGATATTTCATGATAAGTTTTAGGTATATGTCATGTGTTATTCATGATCTTCCTGGGAGTTTGGTGGGAATGGAAATCATTAGCATGTACCTAAACAACATGTACCTAAAAATCAGTTAATGGTACTGAAAGGGAAATTAATAATCAAGCAGTAAATGGGGTAATCAAGAGTGTTGATGAGAACCAAAAGAACTTCCACTTTCATATTATCATTATGTTTGAGTCAAATGTGGAACTAGTGGTCCAGTATCAAGAGAGCTCTGTCTCCTGGAAATTGCATCACAAGTAATTCTTTAAGCTTAGGTAATACAGTGTATATCTGCTTTTTTGTGAAATGCTTGCACTTTTTGGTGTATATTCCTTGTTTACATGGTATGATCATATAGTTTTCAGGATGTGCATTGCTTTACCCCTGGGGACAACTTGCCTTGGGGTCCACTGCTAGGAGCGATGGTCGGCTGCCACTCGCTCATTGTCTTGGATGGCAAACTACATGGAGATCCACTTGACCTGAAAATGTTTGAAGGAACAGGATGGGTAAGGACAGCAAGAAAAAATTGTTACTGTTATTATAATGCATCGAATATTATGTCTCCCTGAAACTGTACAATATATACAGTGTATGTGTGTGTGATATATATACTGTATATATATATACAGGGCTTGAAAAATTTGGCGGTGTCTCACCAGTCAGTCACAAATTTCACCAGTCAGCATGACCAGACTATAGCCTTGCAATATATGTTAAACATTTTTGGGGACCGATAGAGCTTTCTTTTGTGACCCTACGGGGGGTTATTTGTTTTTACTTTATAATGAAAAAAGTACCCTAAATGTAAAAAAAATAAAAGTTTCCCTATGTTATAAAACATTTATTCTTACCCATATTTTTAGTACAACATAAAAGTCGGGGTCACGTCGTGTAAATAGACACCAAACATGTCAAGCCTTAAAATTGCGTGCG